CCGATGTGTTCAAGGTTATGTGTTATGCCACTAGACTACCAAGCTGGGCTCCCATTTAAGATTTTTTACTGAGGAATACTGTGATCCACTTGTAGTTCAACAGTATCATCTGGGTTTCCAGATCCTGACGATTTTTGGAATAAAAATCAGACCAGAAGAAATCAGTGGTTTAAGTAAAGAGTGAAAGTTACTTGAAGCTGGTAACAATGCAGATTTAAAAAGTGGCTAGATTCGGAATCTGTATCACCCGTAGCCCTGGCAGGGCTGGGGGATATATTGCATGTGGGGGAAGAAAAGGCTGATGTGTTGGGGAGGGCTTGCATGGCTCCTCTTAGAGCAATGAGATGAATAGTAGTGATACCAGCAGGACATCGGACGTGGGGTAGGGCGAGGAGCGATTTTAGTTGACTGAATTTTTAAGATGGTTGTGGAAGGAAATGAAGGTAGATGAGGCCATAACAGTTAAAATTTGATAGAGAATTTAAGCATAAAAAAACCCCACTGTAACAATACCTTGTGTAGACAACAATGTCATGCTTTTCATTAAATAGATGATAATGATTACTGAGATCTTCAAGTATAGGATGCTCAGGAAATAGTGTCAATTTGGAGGAAAATGTCAGTCTCATTTCTTAGAAACTGCGTGGAGAACATAGGGGGCCCTGGGCTGACATCGGCCGTTCCCCATCTCTGGGTACCGGGGTGATGGGGAGGCTGGATGGAGCTTCTCCCCTTGTCTTTCCCCACTACTCCAAATGTAGAAGTCTAAGAAGTTGTGGAAATAGTGGTCTCAGCTGCTTTTCCCTCGTCCTCGACCCTTCCCACCCTAATCAACTATGTAAACTTCATCAAGAATAAAATCTAAAAAATGAACTAAAAAGAAAAAAACCCGTGTGGAGATTCAATATTCACAAAATCAACATAATGTGTCTCATGGCTAAAGAGGAGTTTTTAACTTCATTTGCTGTTCTAAAGTTGAAGATTGAAATGTTTACCTTTATAAGTGTATATAGTTTCTAGAATACAGTATAGTTGCATAAAGGGAGATTTTTAAAGCATGATAGATAATGTTTAAATTTGTGGAGATTATAATATGGAAATAGTATTTATGAATATTTATTTTGGCATCTTTCCTTTACTCTGCTTTTTCTCTTTATGGCACTGGAGATAAAAATTAAAACTTTTAAGCATAGCAGTTAATATATATTTTATTGCAAAGATATATGCAGAAGAGTAAAATCTATCACTTTTCTGAAAATCTCAGCCCCTTTCTGTGTTTTAGCATCCTAGCTACTCCTGGTTAGCATAATTATTTCATTATTCAGACGAAGTTTGCATAACTTACACTCTTTAATTTAAACCTGTTTGCTGTGTTTACTTGTGTAATTCTTTCCTTTTATTCAGAGTCACTTGAGTGCTGAGTAGGAAGGGGGCCGTAGTGTTATTCCTGCTGCCGCAAACTCCTGCTGTGCTGAAAGTCAGGCTCTCATCCCTCTTGCCATGGTTGCTCTGAGGCCCAAATTCCCATTGTGTGAAAGGAAATGAAACATTGGATAAGAGCAATGAAATCATGCTTATTTTGGAAGTTTCTTTTGCTGTTTAACTATGTTGTTTTGGTCAAGTCTCATACCTACTTAGACTTAAGTTATTCACCAGCTGAAAACTGCCTAAAAGAACAATAAAATAAAATGTCAGTTCTGAATTAATTTTTAGCCATTGGGGATTGGGATCAGCTTACTTTCCTACAAATTAAAAGAGAAAACAATCGATGCTTCTTGTATTACTACGATTGTGTGGTAGTAGCCATCTGACCGTGGGTATACCTGAGTGTTAGTTTTGGGATCCGTGGGAAGCTGTGCATTTATCTCATAACTGAACCGAGATGTTTGGAATCTAAGGCAGAAAATTCTGTTTCTCAGCAGATATTGAAAAAGTGCAAAAATATTCTTTTTCTTTTGGTAGATAAAAACTGCTGAAAGCTAATTGGCACTGGAAATGGTAACTGGTGATAATTTACTTCAGTGATATAAAGACCAGGAAAACAGCAAGGATGATGTGTCATTTTATGTTAGATTAATATCCTTGAGCCTAAAACTTATTTTTCAAAGCACTTTCGTGGGCTATTTTTGGGCATTCTGTTTGGCACATAGGAACACTTAGTCAGCTGTCCTTGCGCTTGTATCAGAGTCCAGCATTGGTCGAGAGAGAGCCTGGCCAGTGCACTTTGTGAAAGTCAGCTGATGTTGAAACAGCTGAATCATATTTCCTACAAGGTGGTTTTAACCTCATATATATATAAATTCATATGTATAAACTCATATATAAACTTGCACACCCATGTGTGAGCATACTCCTAATAGGCTTATGTACAACAGCCTTGACTAATTGAAGTATAGCATGAATCACATGTTGATGGTAAGTGTCCCAGTGACCACATTGTAAAGTTAAAAGAAGTAGGTAAAATTCATGATATATTTAATTCAAATATTGTCAAGGTATAATAAATATAAAATTACTGAGATGCCTTATTATGTCTTGTTGCAATAGAGACAATGCCTGTTTTATAATTTTAAAAAATTTAGTTTGGAAGTCTTCCTGTCAGTAAATGGCTACCTGACTGGACAGCACATTCTAGAACAGATATTTTCTTTCTTGCTTGCTTGCTTGCTTGCTTGCTTGCTTCCTTCCTTCCTCTTTCTCTCTCTCTCTCTCTTTCTTTTTTCCTGTTTTCTGCACAGCCACAGGGAGCTCAGAACAACTGTTGAGTGACTAATTTTTAACTGAACGCTACATGTTTCTGCTTTGGTTAGGAAGGGTTTGTGGAAAAGTAATCAGTCCTGAAAACTGTAAGCATCAGTGATGGTACTAAAGTGTGAGACAAGCTGGGCATGCCTGTTCCCACTCTGAGAGTATGTGTGTGTGCTTACCATCCTGCAAACACTGTGCCATGATTTATGGACAAGTGCCTGGAAATTAAAATATAATTATTATACCTTATATAATTTATTATATTAAAATATACCTTGGGAGATTTTCTTTGGCATGCTTGTTAATTTTTTTTTTCATTTTTGGAAGAAAATGTATTTTAAAAAATACCCAACCACTCAGTTTTTTATATTACTTTGAAGGACTGTGGAAGTACATTTATTCCTTTATAACCATATTTTAGGAGAGGTAGTTATTAAACTGGTATTCAATCCTGTATTTTTTCTTTAAAGGCATTTCAAACAAACAAACAAAAAACCCCACATTATTGCAAATTAGAATAGAAGGTATTAAGAATATTTTTGCATTCCTTAACTGTATTATTGTTTGAATATATGGTTTGCCTAACTTTCTCTTAAATGAATCCTGTTTTATGTACTTTGTGGCCTAAATGAATTAGACTCTAAACTTTTATCTGAATTTGTTGAGCTTGGATATAAATTGAAAAGATCACAGCTATGGGGAGAAGACCTATACTGCAAAGGCTTTGGTGCATAGATTATCAACATCATAACTCTAATTTTTTCAAAACTACGGTTATAATTGGACCCATTGGGGGTCTGTTTCTTTGATCAGATCACAGTAACTGTGACTTTACACTGGAAAATGTCACTACTGTGAAGGCTTATCACCTGTAGCGCTGGTCCTTCCTCTGATGCTGGTTCATTTCTCATTAGCATTATTCAAACTTTAGTTGTTAATTAGGTTGACACTTCAATTACAATCATCTATAAGAGTAGCCTACTTGCATAGAAAAATGAAAATATTCCTTTTTTGCATATATATGTAAAAGAGAAGTGGCATTATTTTCTAGTAGTTCCATGCAGATATGAACATGCTCTTATTGAAGGAGCCATTCAGCAAGAATTTGCCTAATCCGTTTTTGTTTTTAGGAAAACAGAATTGTTATACAACTTGACATGATTTCATTTTAAGCATTGACAAGGAATGTATGTAATAGTCAATACTTCCAGATGTGAAAGCCGTAATTTTCCGATTTTGTGGAAGGAATCAAAGTGAATTTAATGCATAGGAACATTGTACATGTCCGCCTCACCTTGACATATGGAGTATCTTACTTAAAATTTCATCTAGCCAAGGTCTACTCCTAAAAAAAATCCATAATACTTATAATTAAAGGAGGAAAACTATATGAACAAGAGTTAGAAATTTAGTGCCTTTTAAAAGTGTGGAAATTCCTAGTATTAAGTTATTAGTATTTTAATATGATTACTGGTTCATGAGGTAGTGACAGTGAACTGAAACCCCGCATGTGGTAGTGGAAAAAATTGGACAGAACTGACTTCAAATTACTGCTTCACCACTCATTAGCTACATAGTGAGGTCAGATTAATTCACATCTTTGTGGCTGGTTTTCTTCATTCATAAATGGAAATAGAAGTGCTTTTCTTATAGGTTTGTTGTGAAGATGAAATGAGACAATGTATTTCTTTGTATAACATCATTTTCTTTTGATGGCAAGGTTTCAATTAATTTCGCCTCCCTCTCCCTTTTTCTAATCTTACAATGATAATACAAAACTATTCAGCTAATGACTAGAAAGTTATATATGCAAATGAGGCTTACAAAAATAAAATAAAATGGTGAGAGATCCAGGAGGACCCATAACAAATAACCTTCTGTAGTAGAAATGAAGAATACCTAACCAACCGCATCTCGAAACAAGTGGACACATGCTGTAATTGCTAAAAATCTGCAGAAAAGTGGCTCACAAGCAGTTTACAGTAAAATAATTAAAGCTTATTTATGTCAAGAGGCCTTGGGAAAAAAAGAGAGCATAAACCAATTTGCATTAGCACATTACTATCCTCTCCTGCTTTCCTTTCAATTAACAGACCAGCAGGTGCTCTCCGCAGTTAAAAAGATAAGCTATCAGGGAGGAGGGTGGATTTTTGGCTGACCTGCAGACACCGTGGCTTGCCTGCTGATTGGGTTCGTACCTCGCTGTACCAATTTCTGAGGTGTTAATTTAACTATTCCTCTCTGTCATGCAGGTCTCGGCCTTGAAAAATAAACTGAAGAAGCAGTCCACAGCTACTGGTGATGGAGTAGCTAGAGCCTTCCTTAGGGCACAGGCCGCTTTGTTTGGATCCTACAGAGATGCACTGAGATACAAGCCTGTAAGCATCTTATTTCATCAGCATTTTAATTTGTTTCTTTCTTTCTTTTTTTTTTTTGAAATGTTTCTTCAGAATGAGGGTGAAAAAAGAGACATCATTTTAAGATTACACTTTAAAAAAGTCTCACGGTGATCTTTTAAAATCCAACACAACATGCTTACAACATGCTCCATTTCCAGTGTTTTCTTTTCATTTTAGTTTTCCTTAATGTTTTCCACATTCTTTTTTCCTATTGCCTTAATACCTAGGAATTATGTTCATTCATTTAAAAGCACTTAGCTGATCTTAAGATCATTAACAGATCAACACATTTATCAGTGAATTTAGAAATCACAAATACAAATTGAATATCCAAACAACAAACAAACAAAAAAAAGGTTATCAGTATTTGGAAATTTGTTGTCTTCCTAATTTATAATATTTTCTAGAGTGGGGTTATCTGTTTATCATAGTTTAGCTCATTTCATTTTTCTCATCTCAATACGCAAAAATGATTTTTGTAGTAGAAGTGTAGCCAAGTTTGAGATGGTATAACGAGAGATACAGCAGAGTGTATTTATTTTTCTGTCTGAATTATTGGTTTAAGGATGTTAGGCTCATTTTTGTGGGAATTGTTACACTACTCTTATGCGGCCAGATAGATGTTGCGGTAGTTAGCAGGAAGACCTTCTCTTTAGTTCGGGTCCCTGATGAGCTGTGTCACATTGGCTCATCTCCTTAGTCTCTCTGTACTTTGGTCTTCTTACTTGCAAAATGAAATTTGTTAAACCTTTCCCAGCTATCGTTCTGGATTGTTGTATAGGTCCTTTTATAAACTCTGAAGGACCAGACAGCTGCAAATGGGTATATGCTTTCTAAACTCAATATTGAATTAATGATTTCCACTCAGTCTCTCTCACCTCTGCTAGATTATGAAGCTACTTGGAGGAGTCCTTAAAATGCGTGAATGTATCAGCTCATGTCTCCAGTTGTAACTAGTGTACGCAGTAGCTTCTTGAAGTCCGCTGTTGGTAAAGCATACAGAGCTCACAGTACTGTTTGGAGGATGCATATGTCACCTAACGGAGTCCAAAAAAGTGTTTCTAATCATAAGGATCTCATTCTTTAAGCCAAGCACCCATATTATAGTGCTAAATCTTTCTTGCTAACCTTTCTTTTAAAATCTGCAAAAGATTCAGATTTGAGGAAAGGATAAAATTGGCATGAAGAGAACATTTTCTTAAATGATTGCAATTATTAGTATGTAAGGTTCTGGGTAGAATTATCAAAATATTCCAATTAATTAATTATTTTGGATTTTTATAGCTTCTTAATGAAGCCTGAGGTTTCAGTAGCAAATGGGAGCGATGTAAGATTTTCTGCCTCTCAAGCATCTGGGAAACAGAATTTGCAGTTTCTGTGGAAAATATATAGTTTTATCTTAGAGTCTTATTGACTGAGCATGTCTTCATATGAATTTGTTAGTTTATGCACGACATAGCCACTGTTTCATGTTTTATTTCTGTTTCTGGCACTGCTAGTGTTCTTCGGAGTTGAGAGATAGCGTTTCATTTTGTATGCCTTTACCTTTCTTCTGATTCAAGGTCTGAATAAAAACCTTACTTTTTTAAAGTGCACTGAATTTATTCTGAAATTTTGCTATTTATTTCTTTTGAGCAGATGTAATTTTTAAAGTAAATCTTCTTTTGTGGAGAAAATACCTTTTAATGCTTTTATCTTTATAGATTATTTTGTATTATAATTTATCAAAATGTTTATATTTTAGAACTTTTAGAAATCACTTAAATAACAAGTGTATATTTTAATATGTTTTAATAGAGGTAAAAAAGGGGCGATTAACTACAGAACTCACAATAATTTAATGGTTTTGTCTCTTTCTTACATATAAGGGATCTTCAAAATTTCATAGAAAATGAATATTGTGAAAAATTTGTGTAGGAACTTAAAAATTTTTTTTTGTTGTTGTTAAAATAAGCTAACCTTTTAATTTCATTTTTTCATAGTTATCTGAAGTACCCTTACATGTGTCCATATTCTCCTTTAGCTGTTATGATACAATTGGAACATGGAGGGAACACTCATGTATGTTAGAATGTGGAACGCTCACGTGTATTAGAAAATGGAGGGAACATTTGTGTGTATTAAAACATGGGACACTCACCTGTATTATAACATAGAGGGAACATTCACATGTGTTAGAACATGGAACACTCACATGTGTTAGAACACAGAGGGAACACTCACGTGTATTAGAACATGGAACACTCACGTGTATTAGAACATGGAGGGAACACTCGTGTGTTAGAACATGGAACACTCACGGGTATTAGAACATGGAGGGAACACTTGTGTGTTAGAACATGGAACACTCACATGTGTTGGAACATAGAGGGAACACTCGTGTATCTTAGAACATGGTGGGAACATTCACGTGTGTTAGAACAGAGGGGATATTTGTGTTTGTTTCTGGAAATGCTTATGGTGCTGGCATTTGTGTCATTCACTCAGGTTTTTCTGGGCTGCCTTGAGTATTGCTAATGGACAAAAAATAAATTTATTTCAAAATAAAGGTTGGTTAGTAATAAGAATTTTGGTTTGAGAAGTTGAAAGAGTTGTCGTTCAGTCCTCTTCTGGATTATATGTAATTGAAACACTCTCAGCAAAGTAATGTTGTGTTTAGTGATTAATCGCAAGTCATTTAAATGCAGGATTGGCATCTGCAGGTTCAGGGATGTTCACTAAATCATGGCATTCACATTTCCATTTAAGAAATTTGGAGCTGTCAACTTGATAGGTTTAAAAATCCAACTTGTAAAATACCACCTACTCACCCCTCATAGTTTCCTGGTTACTGAAACAGTTTTGACATCCATTGCTCTCATTATTCATGTTTAGGTGTAGGATGGACCTGTTGACTTTAGAAATGATTGTTACTAAAGAAAAACTTGGTGTATGCCCTGCTTTGTGATTGGCACATTTTATTCTTTTTTTTTTTTTCAGTTAACAAGAAAAGAACTTTGTTGAATTGCTTTAGCAAAAATTCTTTATAACTATAAACAGGCAGGACTTGGATCTTTGATAGGGAAGTTTTCATTTATATATCATTAGTAATTTCACAAGAATGGAGAGGTTTTTCTTTCTTGAATCGTGAGAGAAATGTATTTTTTTTTATTGTCGGCACAAAATTAACCTGAAACCCATTACTTTAAGTGTTTGAACTTAACAAAAATGTTACAGCTAGCATATTTAATTTAGAAAAGTTCATTTTCTTTTTTATCTTAATTTGCTGAGTCATTGACAAATGATATATTGCTAAGTAGCAATATGTTTTAAGACAGATGCAATAACTTTGGGTTAACTAGCGTAATATGTACAAAGACAAGATTTTCTTCTAATGATTGAAGTTTACAGTTTATTTTTTTCCTCAGTAACTTCATTCTGTAAAATAAGCTTCAGAAGGAAGTTATTGTACTTCATTACTAAAGTCTGCAGCTGATTTTCTGTACCTTCTGTAATAATAACATTGAGACATTTGCAAGAAAAAATGAGCTATAATCTGAGAAGTAGCTTATCATTTCTGAGACGTGCTGCACCCACTTGAATATTCCCAAGATAGTGTCTTTCAGGGATTTTAAAATTTAAACAGTTTAGCTTGCAGATGTTTATGCTTATTTTATCTTCCGTAAGTAATGGTGACATTACATATGAAGTCCAGGTGCATTAAAGAATTAGATGAACATAATGTTGATGTTTTGGATCTTATTTCACATTTTTCACAGTGTCATGCTTTCTCATAGCTATTTTTTTATTGTAAGCTCTTATAAACTATAAACTGCTTCATTTTTATAAGCTCTAGTCTGATTTAAAAGGAATTCAGCATTAAGAAAACAAAAAATAGTGTATTTAGATAATAATCGCTCAAATTTCACATGTTAAGCTAGAAAGCACTGCATTACATCCATGTTTTATTTGTGATTTAATTACCCTGTACATATATATGTGTATATATATATGTATAATCCAGATAGTAAACAATAACTTTTTTAACATTCAAAATGCAAGGCACTGTATTGGCCACTATAGGGAATGAAAAGATGAATAACAGTTTAGTTCCAGACATGCAGAGATTACAGACAAAATACTTAAAAATGACTTAATATAAGCAAAAAAAAAAAAGAATTTTCAAGAACTTCATGGAAAATGTGTGTTATACAGAAATTGTACATGAGTTTCAACTTTGGCACCAAAATAAACTAGCATGTTACGGCATGTCTAAATAACATTGTTTGAACCACTAAGAATAAGATAACAGCTTGAAAACCCAGGTCAGACCAATATGAAATGTTAAAACTGATTCAAAAGCAAGCTGAATCAAAAAGAAAAATCAAAATCATGGTGATGCTTGGAGTAGTGATTTATTAGGATGCGAAGTTAGTTTTGAAATCCAAACTTTAACCCAACAAAAGATTTTTCTTCCCTCGTCGTTAGTATGGGTCCAATGCGGATCAACAGAGGCACTCAAGGTTTCAGGTGGAGGGACCACGTCTGATGCAGCAACGCAGAAAGTGGCAGCTGGGGAGCTGCTACGTTGACTTTTCTCATACACGCCACATTAATAATGTTAGCCTATATGTTTATTTCTTCCAACTGTATAGCACTCCATTAGGGAATATTACCAACAGATAGCACGTAAAAAATAATAGTAATAACACAGAACAGAAGAACAAATAAGCAAACAAAAAAAAAAAGCCTCTTACTCGAGTATCAACAAAGGCTGTACACAATAATCAATTCCCTGTCACCTCTGTACCCATAGATTACATTTTTGTGGACTCTGTGTGTTGGTTATTGATCCTTTATTTCACTAAGCATAATGATTTCCAGTTGCATCCATGTAGTGGCAAAAGGCAAGATTTCATTCTTCTGTGACACCACAGAACCGCTTAGTGTATATATACCATATTTCTTTATCTAGTCACCTCTAGATGGACATCTGAGGTGATTATATTTTTAGCTGTTGTGAATTGATGAGCAATAAATGTAGGGGTGGGGATAGCTCTCTCAATTGCTCATTTCATCTGTTATAGTCAATTCCCAGGAGTGGGATGCCTGGGTCATATGTTGATCTGTCTTCAGGTTACTGAGAAATCTCCATATTGTCTTCCATAACGGTTGTACCAGTTTCTGTTCCAACAAATAGTGGCTTATAGCACCTTTACCCCACATCTTCACCAGCATTTATTTATTTGAATATTTAGATCATAGCCATTTTAACTGGCGCAAAGTGAATCCTCACTGTGGTTTAATATGCACATCCCTGATGGCTGGTGAACCTGAGGATTTTGTATATATTGTTGCTTTGATTTTCATTCTTTGAGAAATATCTCTTCATGACTTTCATCCAGTTCTTACCTAGGCTGTTTTGTTGTTGTGTTTCTCTTGCTCCTAATAGAGCCTGAATATTAATCCTCTCTCAGTTGCATGTTTTGTAATTATTTTCTCCCATTCTGTTAATTGCCTTTTCATTTTATTGATGATTTTATAGGTAGTGCAGAATTTCCTTAGCTTGATGTAACCATGTTTATGTATTTTTATTTTTGCTCTCCTAAGGTTCTGGACTCTTCCATGAAGGTATTGCCTATGCCTGTGATCTATTTAGGGTTGATGTTTTGTAAAAGGTGTACAGGAGGAGGTCTTGTTTCATGCTTCTGCACACAGAGATCCAATTTCCATGGCACCATTTGTTGAAGGCAATGCACAGATTGATTTCACTTCACTTAAAAATCAGTTGGCTGGGGCCCGGCGCGATGGCGCAGGTGATTAAGGTTCTCGCCTTGCACGCCCGGGATCCCATATGGGCGCCGGTTCTATCCCAGCAGCCCCGCTTCCCTTCCAGCTCCCTGCCTGTGACCCAGGAAAGCAGTCGAGGACGGCCCAAACCTTTGGGACCCTTTGGGACCCTGCACCTGCGTGGGAGACCTGGAAGAGGCTCCTGGCTTCGGATTGGCATAGCATCGGCCGTTGTGCTCACTTGGGGAGTGAGCCATCGGACGGAAGATCTTCCTCTCTGTCTCTCCTCTCTGTATATCCGCCTTTCCAATAAAAAAATAATAAAAAAATAAATCTTAAAAAAATCAGTTGGCTGAAGCTCTGTGGATTCGTTTCTGGGATTTCTGTTCCATTGGCTTTATGTCTGCTTTTGTGCCAGTCCCAGGTTGTTTTGATTCCAGCTACCCAGTAGTACATCTTGAAGTCTGGTGTTGTTATGTCTCCCTGTTTATTTTGTTGTGTAGAATTTGTTTAGCTATTCAGCTTCTCTTGTGTTTCTATATGGATTTTGCCATCATTTTCTTATAGATCTGAGAAAAATGTCATAGATATTGTGATTGGGGTTGCAGTAAATCTGTAAATTGCTTTACCTTGTAAGGGCATTTGATGATGTTTATTTTATCAGTCCAAGAATATGGCAGATTTTTCCATGTTTTAGTGTGTGCTTTTATTTCTTTCTTTCAAGGTTTGCAGTTTTCATCATAGAGATCTCTCACATCCGTAGCTAAATTCTTGCAGTTATTGTGTGCAGGACTGATATTAAAGTTCTTTCTCAGCCATGGAGTGTATTAGTGTATACAAAGGCTATTAATTTTTATATGTTTATTTCATACCCTGCAGCTTTATGAAACTCTCTTATGAGTTCGCATAGTCTAGAATAGTCTTTTGGTTCCTCTTTGTTTGATATTCTACTGAAATGATTCTGGTTTTTATTCCTCTTGTGGGCCTGTCACTGTTCCATGGACCCAAAATTTGCAGTTAGTCTTCTCTGTCAAAAATATCTCATAAAGGTTTTCTTTTCTGTTATTTGATGCATATTCCTTATTACTCTGTGTCTCCACCAGATTACATTCATTGACTTTTTTTTTCTATCAGCCAAAAGAAAACCACAACTTAAATGATAATTAGACTGCAATGGATATTTATCAGTTGCATAAGCCCTTTTCTGTAGGTAATATGATCACCCTAACTTTAATATTCAATTCTATACAAATAATTCATGTCCTCCCTGTATTAAGTGACCTTTTGTAGTTGAGATTTTATCTGAGTGCTGTATGTATCCATCTGCTCCTCAAACACCTTCTTTGCTGCTTGCTGCAGTGGATGTTATTATTGCCCTGTACTGGCTGGTGCCCTTTTCACTGAAGAATTGCTCTTGGCTTCATGAGAGTTACCTCACTGGGATAAACACTAAGTGCATGTCCTTCTCTTGCCATCTCTTCCACCAGGGAAAGCCATGGCTGGTGGTCTGGGATGTGACAGGAGGCTTTCAGCTCTCCATTTTTGCTTTCCTGTGGGATTAAATGATTGCTGAACTCATGTTCTTGCTTGACTCTCTTTGCCCTCCCCTATTCTATTTCCCTTACTATTTTTTTCCTTGACAGTATTATCCAATAAAATCAGTTGAAAAACATTCTCTTCCAGGTGTGGCTTAGAATATTACTGAAGATTTTACATTGACTTTTTGCACCTTCTCATGGAAGGAATCCTTCTCATTCCAACATTTCTGTATTTCTAAGATCAAGACTATAAATATAAATATATAACTATAAATAAAAGTGGAAATATAGCCTTAACCATGCAAAATATTTTCCTGCGTTGTAAATTACATCTCTTACACAGCTAGTTGATAGTCATGTAATATATGCCATAGGAGGGGACTGCCAATTGAGGGATATTTCTAGTCACCTGAAGTCCAATTACTGTGTTCACGTTGCTTCTGTGTCACACACTTCCTTTGTGACAGCCCCAGTTCCTCTTTAAGAAGAACAGTTTTTTCCATTTGAACACTAATTGAAGCCCTGCAAACTTTATTTCTATCCAGGGTGAACCCATCACTTTCTGTGAGGAGAGCTTTGTGAAGCACCGCTCAAGTGTAATGAAGCAGTTTTTGGAAACTGCGGTTAATCTCCAACTTTTTAAGCAGGTAAGAGTAGACCTCTGTATTTTTTCTGTAACACAACGTTGTTATGTAACACATTTTTATCACTGTAGAACTATGTTCAAGCCCCGACTAGTATCTAACCTGGAATATCAGGAAACTTTCCTTTCTTTGAAATTCTATGGCTGCCTCAGAAATGTTACATAATAATTTGGTTATTAAAAACTCCTCATCAAAAGTTTCTAAGCTTAAGATCTCACTGAAAAAGTTCTCACTGAGGATTCGTGGAAAAAAATAAGCATGATTAGTTTTCTATAGGGCATCTTAGAAAAAGTTTGTTTTGATATAGTTGATTGATGTGCTAAAATAAACTTTTTTATTAGACGATCCCAGGGTAATCTAGAGTATAATTTTTAAAATGCCTAATTAACAGTTTAAGCTTTGTAAGACTTTTTATAATCATAAATTCAAAATTCAGAAAAATTCATGTGTCCTTATTTTTGGTTCTGAAAATATAATTACCATTTCACATAGGCAATAACTTAATGTCAGAATTTGCAAATTTTATATTTTCTGCAGCTCTCAATACACTGTGTGACATCACAAGTGCCATGAATTAGGTTGTCTTAATTCTGTTTATATATTGACATTAAGGTTTTTTTTTTTAAGATTTGTTTTTATTGCTATTTGAGAGAGAAGTATGGAGAGAAGGAGAGCTAGAGATCTTCCATGTTGCGTTTATATTCTGAAAAAGTTTTTGAAACTCTGAAAAGGGATCGAGTTATCCTGTACCCAGAACGAGGAAGCATAAAATGCAGTGTCACAGATGTCTTGGGAAGTTTTGAAGAAGTAGACTTTTCGGAACTCTGTCCTCAGGTCTCAAAGAACAGACTGAATTACTTCCCAAGGTTAAAAGGAGAATCATTATAGTGTTTTGTAAGTGCTGAACCTGCTGCTTAGAGTTTAGTATTTATTACATTTTTTCATGTTTTTATCTATCGAGAATTGATTGTGCTTGACCTGGGGAGATCAAACTATTTGGGCCTGAGAGACTGCATGAATGAGTGGGATGCCTGACTTGTTGCTTTCCTTCCACAATGAGATTCTGTAACTGATTCTTACAATAAATTTAGGCAAAAATACTTTTTCTTTTGCGTATGCTTACAAAGGCTTTAATCTTTTGAGTTGTGCAGATTCAGTTAACTTTATAATTGAATAGCCTTTGATCAATACTTCTCCATCAAGATGTCTCAGCTTGCTTTATCAATACTATCACTTAAACTGCTAATATTTAAGTATCAAATGTAAGCTATTTTAATTCATTCATAAAACAATTTTTGCTTTTAATTTCCTCACTGATTCATAGTTCACCCAACAGCATCCTTGATTTCAGGAAGATTGGTTTGGGGATTCCCAGAGCCTATGAAACTGTGTCACATAATGCAACATAATTAATAATAAAAAAAATTTTTAAAAATTAAAAAGAAGATCTTTGATTTTTTTATTTCTTCAGTGACACATTGGTCATTGAGTAGCATGTTATTTAATTTCATGATGTAAATTTTCTGTTTTTCTCTTTGTTGTTGATTTTGTTTTATGGCTTTTCATTTAATGGGATGTATGGTAACTATGTCATAGAATTGTCATATCCAGATGTAAAGATATAATGCAGTGTGTATCTCTACTTCCAAATCAAAGATGGACTCCCAATGAAACTGTTGAATGTATCTTGACAATAGAATTCTGGACTTTCTGCCGTTATCCATGCCTACAATGTCAGGATACAATTAAATATCAGAATGATGGACTTATAACTGAATGTGAAGGACTATACCATTGTAATATATGGGCAAAATTAGTTGGGGTGGGAAGGGGAAAGAGAAATCCCAGAACCTATGCAACTGTATAATGGAACAATAAAATAAGCACATTTTAAAAAACAAGTCTTCTAAATAAGTTTTTAAAAGGTTAGTTTTATTTGGAAGGCAGATTTTATAGACAGAGGAGGATGGAGAGAGAAGGTCTTTCATCTACTGGTTGACTTCCCAAGTCGCCACAATTGCTGGAGCTGACTGATCTGAAGTTGGATCCCAGACTTTCTAAATCTCCCACACTATCCTCCTCTACTTTCCCAGGGCATAAGCAGAGATCTGGATTAGAAGCGGAGCAACCTGGATACAAACTAGTGCCCATAGGCAATGCTGGAAGCAGAGGATGGAGGAGGAGCCTGCTGTACCACCACACCAGCTCCAATAAATCTTTCAAAATAAGAAAAATATCAGCAAATAGAAAATTGAAAGGATATGAGATAGTTGAAGATAGCCAATTTAGAATGCACAATTAGAAAAGGAATTACTGAAAATATAATATCTAGGTCTAAAAAAGGAAGCATTTTTAAGATAGGAAAGTTCTTTCAGAGCTGCTTTTTGGGGGTCCTGGGGTGCCTGGCTGGTGCAATGGCCCATGACTAAGTCCTCACCTTGTATGCACTGGGATCCCATATGGGCACTGGTTTGTGTCCCAGGTGTCCCACCTCCCATCCAGCTCACTGCTTGTGGCCATGGAAAGCAGTAGAGGACAGCCCAAAGCCTTGGGACCATATACCTACGTGGGAGATCTGGAGGAGACTCTTGGCTCCTGGCTTTGGATCAGCTCAGCTTTGGCCATTGCAGTCACTTGAGGGGTGAAGCTGCAGACGGAAGATCATTGTCTCTCTTTTTCTCCATAAATCTGCCTTTTCAGTAAATGAATGAATGAATGAATGAATAAATAAATAAATATTTTTGAAAGGATTGGTTGTGTTTTGTTTGCATCCTCTACATGTTGATTTCTTGGGTTGTCACTTTCATCTATGTCAGTATGATTTTAGCAATTGGCTTGTTTTGTATTTCCTTCTGAACCTACATGTTCAGAAGTTTTCTTGGGCAGGGATCTTTAATTGTATCAGATGCAGTTAGGCAAACAGTGCTCTGATTTGGGCCTTTGACTCAGTGGTTAGGTGTGTCATGTTCCTGGATTTGTGTCTGCCGAAGCACCCTGGCGTCCCAGGCGTGCATCTCTCTTGAGCTTGGTGAATAATGTTCATAAAGTACTGTGAGATTTTCTTACTAGCATTTTGCTGAGGGTCTTTGCAGATCTTTAGGATATATTTTTATCAAAGATAATGTCTTGTAGCTTTCTTTTCCTGTTTTGCTTTTCTTTTAATATTAAGATATTGTTGGGCTTATAGGTTAAAAAAATTGGAAGAATTTTCTCCTCTTCCATTTTTAAAAATAATTTCAGAAGGATTGATGCTAATTCTTCTTTAAATATTTAGTGATATTACACTTGTACTCCAGTCCTCCTTCATTTTGAATTTTTTAAAATTAATTTTTATTTGGGAGGTGGTCACACACACGCGCACACACACACATCCCCATCTGTCATCTTTTGATTCACTGCCAAATGCCTTCAACATCCAGGGCCAGGCCAGACCAAACTCAAGAGCCTGCATCTCAATCCATGTTTCATGTGGACGGCAGGAATTTCCTACTTGAGCAATCACCTCCTTCCTCTCAAGCTGAATATTAGCCAGAAGCTAGAATCTAGAGCAAAGCCATGAGTTGAGCCAGGGACTCTGCGGTGGGTTGCAGCCAAACACCCCTGCCCTCCACTCCACTTGGAAACTTTGATGTCACTTTGACTTCTCTATATATTGTATGTCTTTTGACATTTTAATAGTTACAGAGCTTCATTTTTAAGTCTTCATGCTATAGATGATTTAGTGCAATGTTTACAGTATTAAGGCATCCTAAAATTTTCTAGATTGCTACTCTTACCAGTGGGTTTTCTGCTTTGTGGTTTTTTTCATTCTTGTAATTATCTTTTTCTTTCAGTTTGAAAAACAAGCTTACTGATTATAATATTCTTAGTTGGCAAGCTTTTTTTCTTCAGTCCTGTGAAAAGCTTATCTTTCCCTCTGTTGTGTGTAAGGTTTCAGGCTATCCCAAAGTTCCCATCAACTTTGTTTATTCCCATGAATTCATCTTTCCTTTTTCTCCTCCAGTTATAAGTTTTCATATAGCCTGTGTTCAGGCTCACTGATTCATCTGCTTCTATCTGTAACCGATGCCTTCCGTTGTATTTTTAATTTTCCCTAGTGCACTTTTCACGTGAAGGATCTCTGTTGATTTGTTTTCAGTATTCCCATTTCTGCTAAACCTTTCTTTTTTATTTTTCTTTTTAAAAACAAGATTATTTATTTGAAAGGTAGAGTTACAGAGAAAGAGGGAGAGATAGAAACAGCTCTTCCATCCACTGACTCACCCCTAATGCTGTAACAGCTGCAGTTGGGCCAGTCTGAAGTTAGGAGTCAGCAGCTTCATCTGGTCTCTCCTGTGAGTGCAGAGGCGGAGTGTTAAACTATCTATGTGCTCCTGACATTTATTATTTCCTTCAACCAACTATTTGGAATCTTCATTTGAGTATTTTAAAATTCCAGTTCCTAGATGATTGTTTTCTGGCACTTTTGTTGTTGTTGTTGTTGTTCTTTAACTTAGATTATGGTTACCTAGAAGTTTTTGATGGTTTCCTTATTGGTATTTAATACCAATGCATTTAGGCATAGCTCTTGTGAAGACAACTTGGTACCTAAATAGTTTTTTGTTATCCCTGTGGAAAGGGTGGTCAGTGGAGCCATCTCGGCCCATCTCTACTTGGTATTTTAATACTCATGTTGTTACATACTTTATTACTGCTACTCGTAGGTGATAGCCCCAGCCTGCCTAGCAGTTGGGTAACCTGTTGAGAGTTTACATAGACGGTAGTATGTCATCGATCAGTATTTGGATCTAGGAAAGCATTAAGATTTACTGTCCCTCTAGGGATAAATGAATGGAAAAAAAAAGCATGTTTGTTTCTTCCACTTATATAATTTTCTCTCTTTATTTCCCAAATAGTAATTCTTTATAACTTGTTTCCAGTTCTTGATTTCCTTTACTTAAATAAATTTCTATCCCTTTAGAATTTACATTCTGTAACATATGGTTTATTTTGCTCCTTTTTGA